GAGTGGACTAAGGCTACTTCCTAGTATTTCCCATTTTCCATGTATTCTGTCAAGCAGTCCTAGCCCCAAAGAATATTCTCAAGCAAAGAATGCAGGATGCCCTTGACTGCACAGAAACTATGAATGAAACCTCCAGGAAGGGTCAAGGGAAAATGGACTCTGACAGAATCTGTTTAGAAACACAATATACATTAGCTATGAATATAGCCTTTATCTCCTTAGTGGAACACTTTATGATGGATCAATAAGTATGGACTTTTTGAGCACTGGGGCTTAAAGGTACTAGTTAGCACTTGGGAACACAAAAAAGGGTTTTGCAGAGAGCGTAAAATATGAGTCAAAAGACACTGATGTGTACTGAGTGAGCGCTGTGATTCAGTTCCAGATTCAGCTCCCAGATGGGCCTTTAACATTCAGGATCCCATCAATCCTAATGATAGCACAAAGTAAGCGCTTTTATCCTGAGACTTGGAGAGTTTATTCTCTTGTACAAGGTCCCATAGAAGACAGAGAAATCAAAGTTAACCCATGATCATCCACACAACAACTGTTCATTGTTTTAAAAGATCTAATAGGTCAGTCTAGAACAAGATACTCACTATAAAGACGGTGAAACTGAGGCAGAATACAGTACACACAGTCACCTCATGTTGTATCTATTGCTGTATGATAAGCAATATTTTAGATTACTTTTTATGGTTTTATGGGTTTACTGGGTTCTGCTGTTTCTTGCTTGGGGCCTTTATCAAGTTTTCTAGGGAAACAGAATACACACACACACACACAAATACATGTGCATACATACACAAACATAATCCTGATTTCCTGAGTTTCAAATTTCATCCATGGATTTGACCAACTGGGGATTAAAAATAGAGGGGAAAATATGATCTTGTTGCTGACATATAGTATATAGTTAGGTCTACAATAGGTTGCAACTCTACATGACATATACAGATTTTTTTTTCTTGTCATTATTCCCTAGACAACATAGTATAAAAACTATTTGTAGATCTTTTCCATTTTTTAGGTATTCTAAGTCATCTAGAAATGATTTAAAGAATATAGGAGGGGAGCTGGACAAGCAGAGCCCTCAGTTCCATCTCTAGTGCAAAATAGAAAAGTTTATGGGAGGATGTGCATTATTTATATGTAAGTATTATGCCATCTTATAAAAGGGATTTGAGTGTGTGCAAATTTTGGAAGATCTGGGAATCAATCCCTACCAAGGAATGATTGTGTGTGTGTGTGTGTGTGTGTGTGTGTGTGTATTTGCACGGGTGCATGTGTAGAGTAATTGACTCACATGATTGTAGGGTTTGACAAATCTGAAATCTGTATGGCAGGCTGAAAACTCAGGCAGGAGTCCATGCTGATGTTGAGGCAGAATTTCTTCTCCAGGAAACCCATTTTCTCCTCTTAAGGCTTTCAACTAATTCATATTGCCCACCCACATTTATCAAGGATAATGTCCTTTATTTTAAAGTCAACTGATTTTAAATCCCAGCAACTCAGGAGGCTGAGACAGGAGGATCACAAGTTCAGAGTTAGTCTAGGCAACTTAGTGAGACCCTGTCTCAAAATAAAAAGGGTGGAGATGGTGGGGGCTGGGGTTGTAGCTCAGTGGTGGGGTGCTACCTTGTATGTGTAAGGCACTGGGTTCATTCCTCAGCACCACATAAAAATAAATAAAGTTATTGTGTCCATCTACAAATAAAAGAATATTTTTTTAAAAAAAGATGGAGATGAAGCTTAGTGGTAGAGCACCCCTACATTCAATCCCCAGGGAGGTAAAAAAATCAATTGATTTTAGATGTTAACTTCATCTATAAAATACCTTCACAGCAACCCCTAGATTTGTATTTGATTAAATGTCTGGGGGCTATGGCTTAATCAAATTGACACGTAAAACCAAATATTGCTGTGGCTCTTATGTGGTTAGTCAGATGTAGGCTGAATTGCAGTATTCCAAAGGCTCAAGTGGGCTGAACAATGCAAGATGACTCACTCCAAAAGCTGCTGGCTGCTGCTGGCTGTTTTCTGGGAGCTCACTGGGGCTATGCACTGCATGCCTGCCTATAGGATCCCCCTCCACTGGCTAGGTTCCGAAAGGGTGTTTCTATAGGGTATGTCTAAAGAGCCAGCATTCAAGAAACAGGAAATAGAGGCTACAAAGCCAGTTAATGCCTACACCTAGAACTTATACCACACATTTCCACTGTGTTCTATTGGTGGAAACAATCACTGGGCCCACTCATCATTATGGTTTGGGTATGGATGTCCCCAAAAGCTCACATGTGAGACAATGCAAGAAGATTCAAAGGAGAAATGATTGGGTTGTAAGAGTCTTAACCTAATTAGTGTAATTAATTAATTCAATTAATTTAGAATTAATCCCCTGATAAGGATTAACTGAATGTAACTGAAATGGTAGGGTGTGGCTGGAGGAGGCAGGAATTAGGACATAGCTTTGGGATATATATTGGTATCTGGCAAGTAGAGACCCCCCACTCTGCTTTCTGATCATCACGTGCGTGAGCTGCTTCCCTCTGTCACACTCTTCCACCACGACTTTCTGCCCCACCTCAAGCCCTGAGGAACAGAGCCGGTCTTCTGTGGCCTGAGACCTCTGAAACCCTGAACCCTCAAACACACTTTCCCTCTACAATTGTTCTGGGTGGGTCCTTTAGTCACAGCATCTACTTCTCAAGGAGAATGGCAAGGCTACATTGCAGCCCATATGGGCTGGGAGATAAAGATATGGCCATTTTGGGAAAATACAAGGCTCTTGCAATTTCCATGCACATTGGTTTGCTATCCAGTACCTGCAGCTCTTTGCTTAAGGGCTTTCTTTAGCCAGAGTAGGCTCTGCCTCCTGTGGTGCCAGTGCGAGGCAGAATAAATTAACACCTACCTGCAGTATTGTTCAACCAATGACTAATAAGAGATGGATACTACTATTTCTTATCCCTCAAGCCAGGTGTCTACACTGCCTCCCAGAGTTCCTCTAGTAGAATTAAGTTCCATTGCAGAAAATGTTAACTTGTGTATTGCTGTTCCCCTTCCTAGTTTTTTCCCTCTACTTCCCCTACTTCCTGAAATGGAGTCTAAAAACATCTACTTACGTTCAAATCTTAGGCTCAGGGCTGTCTTCTGAGAGAACCCAGTTCAAGTTGGTGAATGACCTCTCCAAGGTCATATATCTGAGACTTGGGACTAAGATGAGATGACCTCCCAGTCAAAAGTATTTTTCCCTGGGACTGGGAGTGTAGCTTAGTTGCCTAGAATGAATGACCTAGGTTTTGTTCTCAGCATCAGAAAGAAAAGAAAGAAGGAAGGGAGAGAGGGAGAGAGGGAAGAATGAAGAAAGGAAGGAAGGAAGGAAAAGAAAACTTACTTTTTACATTTGTTATATTCTGAAAGAGGTCCAGACAAACCAACGTGTTCCGCTCAATTGATGGGGAAGGGTTTAAAAAAGAGAACTATTCCAAAGTTCATATGTTAGCTATTTTAAGCAATGTTGTTTGGAAGGAGCACTGGACTAGGAGTAAAGAAATTTAAGTTCTTGCTCTGGCTGTGAGTTGTAAACAAGTGCCATAAATTCCCTGAGACTTAGGAGGAGAAATTAAATTCTCATCCCCCATTCATATCTCTACCAATCCAGCAAGAGTGAAATGGAATGATATATGTAAAAGGCAAATTAATGGAAAAAATTGATTTTTCTCATTTCAGTGACTCTAGACAACAAAAACTTTATTTTTGAAAAAAAATTTTTGAAAGTTTCTTATCTAGTCATGACCCTTATTCTACATTTCCAAATCAGACCATTAGAATTCTGCAAATCATGCTGTCTGGATAATTCAGATTGTGTTCAAAGTCCCAAGTTTTAAGACAAAGTGTTCAAATACTTTTTTTTTTTTAAGTAGGCAGATGCGAATGGCCCACTTTAACTAGAAAGAGATCCTAAGATGGAAAGTGATCTCTCAGTCCCTGATAACAAATATTTCTGTCACTCTACAACATACGTAGGCATGAATTGCCTAGATAAAGGTGGACAAGATATTTTTTTTCATTGGCTTATGAAAAAATATTACACCATATTATGGCTTCCTCCCCCCACCCCCACTAGCTTTGTAGGATTTATGAATTTTACCTAGCTCTGTGTGTCCGTATGTGTATGTGTGTGTCAGTGTGTGTGTTGAGTTTTGATACCTATCTCTTTGTGTGTAGTGAACAGGGTAGAAAAATGCAGACAACAGACTAATAGGAGAGAAAACAGCTCATGAATACACTGGGACACATTTAATATTATTGATGATATTCTACGATAAAACATAACCATGGGGTCAGGATTTATGTATTTATTTGTTTACTAAATTGATCACAGTTTCTGGTAGGAAAATTAAATGCAATTTAATGGCTAAGGATTTTGAACCTGATTTGGGTTGATATCTGTTTTTATTTTATATTTTAAAAAGGGAAAACAATTTGATTGGATCTAAGATTTGTTCAGAAACTTTGCTTACTAACTTAGCTAAATTTGTGGCCCTTTCCTAGGGAAACTGGCCTTCTGGTACATCCAGCTTAGTCTTATGCTAAGGTGGGAAGAGACTCAACATGAAGATTACATTTCTTCTAAAGATCAATTTCAAATTAAATATTTAAAAAAATATGTTGGTTAACAGATTCATAGCTACACTACCCCTTCAAGAGAGGTGGGGAATGCTTTCCTTTTTGCTTATTATTCTGCTGGTATGTTATTGTCTGAATACTGAGAGCTAATAACCCTTCTTTGTACCATGAAGACAGCTTTTTATGAGCACTTGCTTTTTGTATTTTGTGGAATAAAAACATAACTTAATTTTAATTAGTATATTCACTGAAAAAGGTCAATCTAATGGAAACAGGGAAAGGAAGGGAAATCACAGAAAATAAAGCCAGCTTCTAAAGACTTTAGAGGAGAACTCATCAATTATAAAATAAAAAACCCAAACTAAGCATTTAATTGAAAAAAGTTTTTTATTTTCCTTTGTTCGCATTTGTAGTATGCGAAAGACAGTCCCATTTGAATTAGGGAAAAGTTATCCTTCGAAATGACTTCAGTGATTTGGCTCCATCTGTATTTCAAACGCATTAACTTCACACTATCCACAGTGGGTAATAAAGATGCGCAGATTCGGGTCAAATTCACCCTTCTGAAAAACTGCAAATTAAGATGTTGATTATACACCACCGGCTGTCTTAATCATCGTGATCAAAATCCAAATATTAAGGAAAGAGGCCTGGGAGGGATACGTTTGGGCTTTTGTCAAACCCTCCACCAAACTCTGAAGCCCAGCCTGTGCTTCTCCAAATCTTTTTCCGGGTAAGAGCCCCCATCCGCCTGCCTGGGCCTCAAAGTGTTTCTCAAGAGTGGTTAGCGAGCCCCCCATCCCCCAAACCCAGACACACCCCGAGTCCCATGAACATTTCTGGGCTGTCAAAACACACGGCTGCGTGTTCAATCCCAATAACTAGCGGATGATTAATGAGCAGCTTGATAATTTAATATCGCATGTGATTAAATTATAAGGTGTGGGGGAGGGGAGCTCTGCACTATCTCGACCGCCCGGGCGGAAGCCGACCAGCCAGCGGGTCTGGGCTGCGCAGAGAGACGCGCTCATCCTTTGCACAGTGCCTGGCTAGGCTGGGCAACCGCGAGTCTGCGCCTTCCCAAGGTCAGTGGGTCTGGGGAGGAGAGGGTGCATGGGGTGGAAGATGGGGGAAGCCGGAATGGCCAAGGGGAGGGGTAAGACACCGGACAGCTTAGGTCTGAGCCCTAGAGCAGGGTGAGCCGCTAACTCTTCCCAAAGCGAAGGGAGACGAAGGGGCTGGAAAATGGCCCCAGGCAGGGAGAGAGCCGATTTTTAAATCCCACTTCGCTCCACCATAGAGGCTTGAAGAATTTCAGGGACCCCGAGATCCCCGGGAAGAGGGGGCGTGTGGCTTGGCCCAACTGGGTCTTTTCCCGGTCCCCACCTCCCTGCGCACCTTCGATTAAGAGAGGGTTCTCTTGCAGACAGGGCCCAGGTGGTGGTCAAATTGGGTCACCCGAAGCCGCGTATATTCCGCAGTCCACGGACCCCCAACCCTAACTAGTGGCACGCGGGATTCACTCCATCCTGGGTTCCGGTACGTTGTGGGGAAAACCCGGGCGTATTAAGCAGCACAAGAGCCCGAAGCTACGCAGAAGAGGAAAGATTACACTAGATGCAGGTTTCCTAGGGGCAGAGGCGTGTAACTGATGTACTGGAGGGACTCCTGGTCATCGCTCTTTCCTCCCGAATGGGGAGTAGAGAACGAGTAGAGACTCGGGCGTGGCCACTCCTTCCCTCGGGAAAAAGTGTGAACGCAGAACTGCTCCAGGTAAAAGTACCGTTGCCACGTAGTTTCACCTCGAACGAGGTAGGTGGCTGTGTACAGCGCCGGCTGGCTGTTCGCTGGGCACCGAAGCCTCAGAGCGGCACCTGAGAGGCCACTGCGGAACACAGAAAAGATTTTAGGGCTTAACCTCCAGTCGAATAAGGTAGGACCCCCAGCAGGAGGGTCCCCAGAAGACCCTAGCAAACTGGACCCCCGGGGATTTCTCCAGACCCACAGTTAGAGGGTGGAAATTAAAGCTCCATCACCAGGGCCTCAGAGTAACCAGGCCGTCCCCTGGTTCGATTTTCAGACAGAATATGGTATCCAGAAGGAGATGCCCGTGGACTGAAATCAGAGCTAGAGGCCCGAGAAAATGTCAGGAACAGCGCTCCTGGAGTCCTGGGCCTTTAGCTCCAGGTGCGATAGCCAAATCTTCTGAGAAAGGGATGGCAACTTCCTAGGACCAGCTCCTTGGATATGCAGGAATGACCATTTCTTTGTCAGTTTCTTCAAATATTTGGAAATAGCACCAAGGAAGGAGGAAAATCATGAACAACCGAATGGGCTTGTAAATAGAGGTCATAGTATGGAGAAACACACACACACACACACACCTCCCAAAACACCCAAAAAGAACTGGATAAACTTGCCTACCTAGAGCAGAAACAAACCACACATTGATTTTAAGAGGCTCAGTTGAAATGCTCCAAATTAGCTAATCCAGGCTGTAGGCTGTGACTATAATTTCAGGATATTTGGTATACACAAAACTCTGGGGAAGGGGTAAAATCTGAAAGAGGACCAGAGGGGGAGAGGCCCCGGAAGCCCTGCTGCGTTCCTGGACCGGGTGATTTTAAACCTGGATGTGCCTTTCTTTTAGGCCACCACTCCTACCGCATTGCCTGGGCCAAAAGAATCCAAAGAGACCACTCCCTTCAAGGTACGTTAGTAATAATAAAAGAGGGTTTACCCGTAAGTAAGGCTTTTGCAAGCAGTGGCCTCTGTAGTCAAAAATAATTTTAAGGAGAGGCGCCTGGAGTATTTCCTGTGTGCCCGCTGCTGGCGTTCGACCTAGGGTACTCACACTCCCCAAGGTCGACAGCAGGTTCCAGGGTGCCACTTTTGTCCCTGTTATTAAAGTAATTCCTTCAATTTACTCCTTGTCCATGCTTCCAGACACAAGCTGATCTCTACATCTGGTTACCAAAAACATTGCGGGACCCGTGTCTGGCAACTTTAAAATTCCAGGGCCAATCTTTTTCTCCCAAAGATCCCACACACCTTAGGATAAATAACGTGTCTCTGGCAGACACAGTACCTTTCCCAGAAATTAAATTTGGGTTCTAGAAATCCGACCAAGAAGGTCGTAGACGTTAAGTATGCCCTCGCAAGAATTCCGAGTTCTCAATAAACATGTGGGTGGAGGGTAGCGGAGATGTGGGGCACCAAAATAGGGTTTTTATTTCCCAGATTACCGATAATCTGCTGATTAATCAAGACCAGGACACTAACGATTCCCAAAGTTGATAAAGGAGGAAGAGTGAGCTTTATTTTGTCATTCACATTAACATTCACTTCTAATGATTTCGGACACCTGTAAAATGATATCGAAATCAGTGGTGCATTGGATGGCATTGTTCGACGTTGCCAGGACGAGAGAGGTGCGGGAGTTGGCGCGCATTGATTTCACCCTTCACTCTCCGCCCTGCTGCCGAACACCATTTAGGCCAAGATCGGGTATAATGGGAAACACCATCAGCAGACAATTACCCTTTCAGAGGATTCACTTCTCCTCACAGACACTGTTATTTGAGAAATAGGATCATTTGATTTCATATTGCACTAAATAACACCCAGCCGGTTCAAATTGCCAGCTTCTTAAAAACCGCCCATTGGAATAAATTGCAGCGGCCTCTTTTGCTTTTCAGGGCAATACGATGGGCACCGGGCAGAACTTGTAAAAATAACTACAAAGTCACTACAGAGTCGTTGCTATTGATGAGAATAGCTCTGCCACCCCTCACGCAAAGGCATCCAGCTACTCAGTTCCCTGCCACCGCCCCCTCCATCCGTCAACTTTGGATGGTTCAACCACTTGGCTTTGGCATTAAAACGTACAATTCCAGCCACCCGGAGGAAGCGCTTCGAGCCACAAGTCGCAGAGCAAAGAAAGATGAGCGAGAGACACAAATTTCTGTTTTAGTTTTTTTTTTCTTTTCTAAATTGCCTGCAGGATTCGCATATTCGGAGACAGCTGCGGATTTGGGGAGCTGCGGCCCCGGCGTGCGCCGAGTTCAAGGGTCTCTGGTTCTTAGCGCAGAGTGTCCGGCGGCCACAGAACCGCGCGGGTCCAGTTGACGCGCCCTGCTTACTGGTGCACCCTCAAAGTCTGCCAAGGCGTGGCGCCCATTTCTGATCTCACAACTGGCGCCAAGCCGAGAGCCGGGGCTCCAAGGGTCGGACCAAGGGGGCAGAAGGAGGAGGGAGCAGCATTCCGGTATTAACGCCAAGTCGAGAAAGAAAGAGAAGAAGGCGAGCAGCGAGCTGCAGTTTGCTGCACACCCGCCACCAGAGACATTTCAGACAGAATTAAGCCTTTTGAAGTCGACCACTTACTGTGGTTTAATTGACACTGTTCAACTGAGTGACAATTGTTCAGTTGGATGGGGGCGATACACTCCCCACTTATTTTTTAATACGCAAAATAAGATTTGACGCCTTGGGTCTTGGTTCTTTTGTGACAAGGGGCGGGGTGTATTTATGACCGCCAAATCTGTCGGTTGAAATACCCCCGCCCTATTCCCCTCCCTCCCGTTTCCGTTAAGTCTTTATTATATTTGTGTTAATGCACTTCAGGAAGGCCTTGTAAGAAACTCCCTCTCCTAAGCAAATTGAAGGCCAGATGCTGGAGCCTCACCGGTGTACCCCTATTTGGGGGCATGAGCTGGAAGCACCCTTTTACCGGGTCTAGAGAACAGAAGCTTGTTAGTCTAGGCGTTTGGGGACAAGGTGGGAGCCTTTCCCCTTCTTTGGCACTGGGAGGAGCCAGGGAGCAGGGAGTTTTGTGAGCCCAGAGGGAAGGTCCGGGAGCAACCAAGTTGCCCTTTCTTGGATAGGCACAGGCTCTGGGGCAAGGTCGAAGGTTGCTGGGCAGACGTAGGCGCTGTCCAACAGGGAGGGGGGATGAGGAGCAGAAGGTTTCAGCATGCCTTCATTCACCACTAGTCCTTGTCCTGCGGACCCTCGCTGCTACTCTCTGTAGCGTTTCTCCAGGACACTCTTCTACCCCGCAGATAAGAGCCTATCCACAAGGCCCAAATGTATCCAAGCCAAAATCTGGGCCACGGGCTTTGGCGCTTCACTCTAGATCTGGGGAGAACGCCACGAAGCCCAATTTCCCACCCCACCAAATCTGCTCCTGCTGTCCAAATCCAAGGCAGCCTGTGACTGACTCTCCAACAGAGCCCAGGGAGAGCCCCGGAGTCTCGGAGTCTGCTCCATTCCGTCGGTAAACCAAGGCTGTGGTGCCCTCACCTAACGCCACACTCCGCCCACCTGCGTGCCTCCAGCGGCGCCCGCACGCAGTGAGGGCGCTCCCTTTTAACTCTCCATCTCCTCCTGGTGGAGGGTGCAACCGAAGAACCCTTTCTTGCCGAGTACTAAACCCAAACAGGCGGCTTTTCCAAGATGCCAAGAACAGAATGGTTAAATTCGAAGTTTGGGAAAACTGCTCTGCTCCAAAGTTCACTGCCCTTGCGAACCAAACCGCAGAGCTACTGATTGAATGGCCGCGCCGCCAACGTAGCGACTCTGACTTGGGTCCGGAGCGGGCGGGTTGGCGGAGGCTGCAATGCCAGCGGGCAGCTCCCCTGAGGACACCAGAGGAGACTACAGGGAATGCGTGGGTGGGCCTTTCCCTCCGCGCACGCCTTCTTCGCAGCCGGAACCCCAGCAACGCGTTAAATTAGGGTCGAACTCCAGCACTGGGTCGGGGAATCTTGTGTCCGCCCCGTCCAGGCTTGGGAGTCCTAAGTTAGGGCAGTGAGAGCCAGTTGGTGCGGCTCCCGTCTGCTCCGGCCACCAGCATCGGCGGTGGCTGGCAGGTCAGCCCTTTTGCCCACTGTTCTGCCCCCACCCTCGATCACGTTGCCATGCGGGTCCCCATGCTACCCTCCTTCGCCCGCGCTCCCTCCAAGTTGCCGAGTTTACCAGCGCGTTTTGTTCCGGTTTCGGATTCCTGGCCGAGGGGCAGTAACCGCTCTCTTCTCGGACGGACGCTAATCAAGTAATTTCCCCATCCCAGCCCCATCAAATTGCTCTTTAGCTGTTGAACCGCGGAGTTTTGCTCGCCTTTTCACATGCTAATCACGCCCATTCAGCGGCTCTCGGTGGGGCTGTTTGTCGCGGGATAAATCTCCTTGTTTGCCCGCTGCATGATTAATTGATATTGTTGTCTGGCTTTTGTGGGGACCGCGAGGAGCTGAAAGGCGGCGCGTCGTGACTGCGCTGGGGGCCGCTGGCGACCTCATCGGGCTGCTGAGGTCCCGGCGAGGTCGGGCCGGGACTGATGACATTATGCGCCCGATTTGGTTTCCCTTATTAGAAAGATGATGAAAGACTTGGAAACCCCAGTCTTAGAACTCACCACCCGGTCGTAGAAACCGCATAGCGTTAAGCCACACATTCAGACAAAGCACGGGCGTTTGCTCAATTTAGGGAAACGAGTGGGTGTCGCTTCTCCACGCAGGAGACAATTAAATCTTATTTCGGCCCACCCGGGATTTCAGTAGAATTGAACATGAAGCTGCAGAATAGTTTGTTTTTTCAAACAAAGAACAGCAACAAAAATTTTTTATTGGTTCCAGGTTGTAAAGGCTGGTTAAATTTACTCTTAAAAGGAAAGTAAATGGAAGTCAGTGTTCCGATAGAGACCTTGTAGGCAACGGTAGAGGAAAGCCATGCAAAGGTGCTTCCAGGTTGGACCCCGAGCTTTTCGGTTTGCCAAAACGCGCAGCATTAATTGGTATAGCCAGCCACCGTGAAGACCCGCGCTAACGCAAACTGGCGCTATTACTAAGACGCGAGTCCGCCTGTAAGCCCATGTTTATTTGACTTCACTGGTCCCTTTTCTTTGCTGCATTTTCCCGCAGTCCTCAGGTGTTCAGTCAAACCAACAAATTCCTCCTTCCCTTGCACCCCTCCCGCCTTCTCCCCGGTACCCTGGGGTTTTATCCTCCACGGTCGTCCCAGAAAACTAGGAGATTCAATTAAACAATTCCAGTTACGCGGTGCTCCTACTGCCTGCTTATTGCAAATATTTCCTTTTTCGAGTTCTTAAAAAAAAAAAGCAAAGAGAAGAAAAGAAACTGTCGCCTTCGCTTTCACTGAGCGCGGGGTAATTGATAGGCGCCATCAGAGGTCAGAATTTGCATAAGAATTAAGAGCAGTAAATTAATTTAATATTCCGTGCACATCTCCAATTATTCCTGGAGACCTTTGTCTCCACGGCTGCCAGAGAGGGGATTCAGCTGCTCTTCAACCAAACAACATCTGTGCGGTTAATAATTTGATAAACAGCTCATACAAATAGTTTCTGAATTATCTGGCAGCCCAATGACTATTCAGTTTGGAAACGTTTTGGCAGGGTCTCCCGGAGTCCTCTGAGGGCTGTAGGCACCCGCCCTAACAAATGTCTTCTTATCTTTTAAACATCAACAGACGACAATGTGTAAAATAAGCCATTATCATTAAGTAATAACCCTAACCCTTAAATAAAAAAATCCACTGGGGTCATCAAGGTGGTGCATGTCCTCTGTTAGAGACTCTGAGATGCATAAACAGGCTGGGCAGTAGAGCTGAATGAAGAACAACCTGCTAGGAAGGAAAGACCTGGGTGTTGTGGGGAGGGCTGTTTTATGATTTTTTTTAACTCTTGAAATTGAGTGACTGGACTTGTGCTTGGAAAAATCTGCAAGAAAGGGCTCTGGGGGAGCTACTGGAAGGGAGCCAAGGTAGTGGGCTAGAGGGAGACCAACTTTTCACTGTATTGATTCTTGTACCTTTCACTTTTCTCCCCGTATGCAGGTATTATTTATTCCAAAAATAAATATGTAAAAATAAGTTGAATCATCATAAAACAGGCGTAAGTTATTTTGGGTGGGAGTAGTCCTTAATTGACTTGTCCTCTTTGACAGGGCTACCTTTCTTCCTACCTTCACCCCAAGATGATCCACCCTCATCCTGAAAGCAGCTTCCCACAAAGCATAAATATGTGGGAAGACATATGGAGAGGGCACACATTTTCCTACACTTCAGCCATAATATTGTGTTGTCCCAAATAGGGAAGGAGCACTTGTAGAATGATGCTGTCCTGTGTCCAAACAGGCCCAAATTTAGATACTTCCGCCTTGCTATCCTTCTCTATTTGAAGATTTTGTGACTGCGATTATGGTCTTTTATATTTCTGACACCCGTAGCAGAGCCTGTTCCTAATAGAAAGTCTAGAAAGGAACCATTTGATTTTGAATGAGTTTCAGACTGCTCAAATTCTTGCATCCTGCACATTGCAGCTCTGTGGACTACAAATCTGTGTTTACCCTGGAATTGTTCTGCAGCAACTTCAATATAACAGAATGTTGGAAGAGGGTCTTTATCTCTCTGTCTATGCATTCCCACGTGTTTGATGTACACACCTCATGCATTCAATATTCTACTTTCTATTTCCTATACTGCCAACAATCTAAGTACTTGAAGCCACTGAAAACTACCCAGAAGTTCTGAGTAGGGTCGAAGCAGTAATATGATAGAGTTTTGTCCTTGTACTCTAATGAGCTCTGGTAGCATCGAGCTTTAAAGATAGGCAAACCCTTCAGTCTATAGGTCTAAATATACAACTTTACAATGAATACGAGCTTGCCTGGACTCAATTGAAGAATTACTTTTTCAGAAAACAACTCATTGTGTGATACAAATAGGACAATAGCATTTCTACTAGGCATATTCATTTCTATATTTAACATTTTCTTCTTGCATTTCATTAGATTTTTCCCCGTAGAACTATAGACACCGCCAGGCCTTGTAGGCTTTTATATGCATACAAATCATCTCTGTTATTTATGATGGGGGGTCCGTCTGCATCCTTTTATTAATTTCTGACTTTGATTCAGACTTCTCTAGTCAGCAGAGTGATTTGAAAACATATCTTTTCTTAAATGAACATTATCAATTCTTTTGGGAGTCATTCTAATTTTAAACACCAACATATTCAGTTTCTTAATCTGCAGCTCTGGTGTTACTCATTTTTATGCACACAACCTATCCCCTTTGGCGGTAGTTCCTTTATGCTCCATATTTATCTTCTTTACATTTGTTTGACTATTTTTCAAAGCAGTATATGGGCAGAAAATGGCTATTAAACAAGAAGGCAGGGAACTCTGATTACATTTTTGACTGTGTAAGTAAAATCACTGAACATGAAAATTTTGAGATTTTTTTTCTACTAATGAGCCCTCTCCAGAAAAGCCGTCTGGATACCATTAAAGTTGATGAGTTTAGAAGGATTATCCTGATAAATGTTTGGCTTTTTGGTGATTAGACACATATTTTCAAAACAGTCTACTGAGCTAAGGTCTACATTTGGAAGGAATCTTCTGGTTATACTCATTTATTGACTATACTCATTTATGAATATAAATAATTTACCAGACATTGTTGGATTAAAAAATCCAAAGTACTGTCTTTGCATATATGGTTCAAATCAGAGGAAACTCCTACTCATGTTCACATGCAATAAAAACATTGGGAATATAATAATAGGTGGTATTCAATAATGATACAAGCCATGGTGATTTCCAACATATCTATAAAAGATGCATAACCTTTTTTTGGGGGGGGAAAGTTAAAGAAGGGCCATAGGACAGAATAATGATCTAAAGACTCAGTGTAATCTCTATTAGGGTAAAATTTCTCTCCCCTTCCCCTCCCTGGTGCTGGGGATTAAAGCCAGGGCCCTGGGTCGTGTGCATAAGTGCTCTACCATGAGCTACATCCCCAGGCCCCCCATTTTTTAAATTTGAGAGATATGAACAGTGCAGAGCTATTAAACAAATTCTTCCAATTTATTTACTCCCACTGTCTTTAAAAAATACAGTATATGCGTGTGTGTGTGTGTGTATCCAGTTTAAATCCAACTCTATAAAATATTGAATTAGAAAAATAGGTTAGCAAGTAAAAGTTTTGAATAGGGTTCACTTAGATAAACCTGTTTGCTCTCATTTTCCTTTGTTTTAATATTTAAATGAACTGTGCTTAGTCTTCTAGCATTCCTCACCCCAGATACTGGGTTCAAAAAGGAGCAGCTGTGTTGATTTGTAGAAGATAATTGGAAGCTACAGAAACAAGACCAGTTTCTTCAGATATGACTGTAAGATGTCTCTTTACAACATGGATGTCAGTGAGCCTCCTGATTCTTTCCTTTCCCACTCTTGGCCAGGATTACAATCAGTCAAGCTGAACTTCATATAACTTCAGGGGAACCCTACACACTATTGTCACTATAGATTGTATGTTTTGTAAGACACTCTTCTGAACAAAGCAGTACAGATGTCATTTTAAAATCTGTATGGAGGGACAACATGGGCCAGCAAAGAAACTGGCTAGCTCTATTTTTTTAAAAAAAAAAAGGGACACAGGTAATAGTGCAGGGTCACCCCTTCCTCCACCAATGCATCTCCCCCGCCCTGCCCCCTTGTACCAGGGATTGAACTCAGGGGCACATCCTCAGACCTTTTTTTGTGTTTTTATTTAGAGATAGGGTCTCTTTGAGTTGCTAAGTGCCTTGCTAAATTACTCAGACTGGCTTTGAATTCGCAATCCTTCTGCCTCAGCCTCCAGAGCCTCTGGGATTAGAGGCATGGCCACCATGCCCAGCACCAATGCATCTTAATTAAGCTTCTCCAGGGACCCTCTCCACAATTGTTCTTGTTAACAAAATATCAGCAAAGATCTCTGAAAAAAGGGCTGGATGTGGTTGGACATCCTATTTCCTGTTGCTGGGCTCTGTCTTGCAAAACCTAAATTTAATCACTGATTTGATGAATGTTACTCTGCTTTTGTGGTGTATCCTGTAAAACCCCTGACTATTCTAAGAAATGGGGCAAAAAGCACTTTCTGAGAACTCAAAGGAAAAAAAAACTACTTTTATGTAGACTTCTGCAAAAATGTGAAACATCAAGTCTCCTCCCTGCGCCTATTGGGTATAAAGTTCAAAGAATTTCTAGATTCTTGGTCCAGAGGAGAATTTCAGGCATTAGCTGCTTTCTGGACCAGCCAGCTGCAGCTAATAAACCTGCTTCCTGAAAATTCTGTCCTACTTCAATAGGGACTCTGTGCCTCCTATGCTATTTGCTTTGGCCAGAAAGTTCAATCCAATAGACTCAACAACATGCATTTGAGACCTACTGTCTGATTGGAATCAAAGTGAAAATAGAAGGTAAAAATCGGTGGTGGGCAGAAAAACTGCAGGCATTTGGGTAGTCACCTAATGTCCCAGTGTCGCACACTTCTGTCTACCACTTCTCATCAATTATTATTATTATTATTTTTTTTAAAGAGAGAGTGAGAGAGGGGGACAGAGAGAGAGAGAGAAAGAGAATTTTAACATTTATTTATTTTTTTCTTAGTTCTCGGCGGACACAACATCTTTGTTGGTATGTGGTACTGCTGAGGATCGAACCCGGGCGGCACGCATGCTAGGCGAGCGCGCTACCGCTTGAGCCACATCCCAGCCCCCATCAATTATTTTTCTTGTTGTACCTATGGCTCCTCAGCTGAACAACATTTCCCAACCTCCTTGGCAGTTATATATGGCCCATGTGCTTAAGTTCTTACCAATGGCATGCAAGCAGAAGTGATGTGACTACTTACTATCTTATACTTGTAACTTCCTTTTCTTTCTAGTTTTCTGGGGATGATGCTAACCCAAGTCATGTATTGAGGATGGCAAAACTTCCCAAAATGGCCTGGGCTGTCAAGAAAACTTCCTAGAGCAGAGCCTGCCCTCCCACTCTGGACTGTAATATGGAGACAAGTAAATTTCTATTTTGGTTGAAAATCACATATTTTGGTTCATTTTATTACAGCACCCACTCAAAGTAATCTACCTCCTGGCTTAATTTTGTCGTAAGTGTAAAATAAAAACATCTTAGTTTGGGTTTCTCCAAAAGCAAATAGTGTTTTAGAAGGTGATCTCAAAAAATACCAGTAAGGTTGAGAGAAAAAGAAGGGAAGGCAGCCATTAAAGTGGATCATACAGCAAATTACCACTCTGGGCAATTGGAATTTGATTCTACAGCAGGAACTCTGAGAAACAATATAAAACAGTTGCCTTATGGTGAATCCATTTGAGCTGGGATATTTATACATGACTCCCTTCAGTCATTAACTGAAGGCTATTATTTGCAAGTATATCTTCTTCAGCACTTCCCCAGCCTCTTGCATAGACAGAATGAACTTCAGGTGTCAACAAATAAAAACACCAAAAAACAAAGCAAAACATAAAACCTTCCAAGCCATGAAATGCAGGTGCTCATGGTTGGACATTGACTGATATACCCTGATGTATAAGGGACAGGACATTCACAGCACCCACTACAGAGGGCACCAGATGGATAGTCTTGAAGATCTCTTTCCTTCATTAAAGTTATTTGGGCCCAATTTATCAATCTATATTCTTCCACTTGCTCATCTGAAATGCCTGTTCTAGCCAGATTGGTTTACTCAATTTCAAGCTCCCCAAATACCATATGAATTAATTTTTATTTTATTTATGCCATTTTTTAATGTGGAAAGCAGTTTATCACTCTTATATTCCCTTTAATCTTTCCTCTATCATGTATCTATTGCTGCTTAGTCAACAACTCCATAATTTAGTGGTCATAATTCTGAGGGTCAGAATTCATACAGGACTTTCTGGGCAAAATGGGTCAGCTGGGTTCATTCATGTGGAAATTCTAAGATAGTCTCTCATTTCCCAGGGCCTATATTCATGTGGCCTTTAATCATTCCACAGACTAGCTTAGACTTCTCTACAGCATGACAACTGGGATTTCAGAAGGAGGCAGTGGAATTTGCTAGTCCTTTTAAGACCTGTGTAACCAAAAATCCCAGAATGTCACTGTGGTCTCATTTTATTGGTCAAAGCAAGTCATAAGTTTGGGCCACATTCAAGAAGGAGGGGAAATAGTTCTCCTTCTCTTAGTAGAAAAAGTTTCATGGGATGGAAGGAACTGACAGAGGCCATATTTGGATACTGCCACATTTATTTACCCCTCTTTCTTTTATTCAATTCCCCAAGACAAATTTTTATCCTACTTTATATAGAAATTTTTCTTGTATTTCTTTCTTTTTTTTTTTAAAAAACTGGGGGTTGAACCCAGGGACACTTAACCACTGAGCCCACATTCCCAGCCCTTTTTTATATTTTATTTTGAGACAGGGTGTCACCAAGTTGCTCAGGCCTTGCTAAGTTGATGAGGCTGGTTTTGAACTTGTGATTCTTCCACCTCAGCCTCCCAAGCAGCTGGGATTATAGGTGTGCACCATCATGCCCAGCTAGGAAATCTTTTTTTCATAAGCTAGTCCAAAGGGATCTTCTATTTCTTCTCCTGCTCAAAATCCTGGGCCATCTTTTATTATACATATTTTCTATTTTTTCCTTAATCATTTAATGTTGTGTGACACTCTATTGATGCCTCTTCTTAGCTCCTTAAGGATAGAAAATTCAGGTTAGAGATTGAACAACCCTTGAAATGGTTTGGAGCACATGATAGACTTTTTTTTTTTTTTTTTTTTTTTTTTTTTTTTAGGTGGTGCTGGCAATTGAACCCAGGACCTTGTGCAACTGAGCTATATCCCCAGCCCACATGATAGACTCTTAAGGCATATATATGCCAAGACATTGGCCATAGTAAGAGCTGAGGGAGAAAGTAACCAGCAAGCATATGCCCCTGTGTTAATAACTAGATTAGTAGATCTCATTTCTAGTATGTTTATCTAGAATCCTCAATTGCATATTCTGAAAACCAAATATTTCTGAAATCTTCCCAGCCTAAGTGAGACTCAGGTGACAGACATATCTACCTGCAGGAATGACCACATTTGTGAATGGAATGAATTGCCAGGAAGGCTCAAATTCCATCCCTTCTCCCATGATGTACTATTGCCTACTTTTAAAATGTGACTACTACTTGTTGGCAGTGAAATTGGAAAAGAAAGGGTATGAATTTGGATCTGCATCTTAGTGCAAATTAACTGATTAGAACAGTGTTTCTTTTTCTCTCACAGAATAAGCTGGAGCAGCAAAGATGCACTGGAAGATTAGAGATCCCTAATACTGAAGAAAGTGAACTGAGGAGGGATCTCTGTGGATGAGTCATCTCTCTTCACTTCAGCTAGACCAGTAATACAGGAGGTGATGCTAAATTATGCATTATACTGGGCATTAGAAAGTGGCTCTCATTCTCAGGGACAGCAGAGAAAAATGGAACCATGAGCCAAGGGAAGATTCCAGAACCTATGAACAGGCTTGCAGTCAGTGGGTGGATATCTCTCAAGTCTTTGGAATCCTGTCTCCTGTATTGTGATTCGACTCTTAATCATTAATTTTCTAAAGGCCAAATAAGCTTGTAGGATGATGGGCCATTATAAACCCCTAAAAATGAGTTTTGTTAAGTGGTTTTTGTTTGTTTGTTTTGTTTTAGTAGAACCCTAAAGGAAGATTGGTGGACAACCAGGATGAATAGAAGAGACAAAGACTGACAAGACTTCCTCAATTGCTCCTACTGATTAGTGGGGGCCATTTCTATAACTCCTTGAATCTATTCTCCCTGCAACTCCAACCCCGATTTTTATTAAATGGCTAAATTGCCCTTTTAGATCAAAACTTTCTTCACTATATCAACCAAAGATGGCTGACTTCAGCCTATGTCATTGCTAAGGATATTGAATGTATCAGAGATGATGGTTTTGTCCTATTCATTATCCCAACTAGTAACTCTTTGTATATCAGTGGCTGGCATGCAGAAATGCTTTTTTTCTGGGTCCTTTCTTACTTTTTTTTTTGGCAGTACTGGGAATTGAACCCAGGGCCTCATGCATGCTTGGTAGGCACTCTACCATTGAGCTATACCCCTACTCTCCTAGGTTCTTGGAAATTTGTAATTGATGTTCTGTTCTAGAGGAGGCAGAATAGAATATGGGCTGTGCCATAGGTCACACCTGTGTTTAGATTCTGCTTGTGTCACTAGCCATGTGACCTTGAGAACACTGGAAAACTCTATTAGATTTGTGAAAACTTTTCCTCATTTGTAAAATGAGAATAGCAATATCTAAGTCACACAGATATTGTGAGAAACCAATAAATAAATGTATGCTAAGTTTCTAGAATGGTCTCTAGCACAAAGTTGTATTTAATAAGTAAATGTATGTAAAATTTCTAGAAAATTCCCTGAAGCAAAATTGTACTTAATAAATGACTTTTAAAACAAGGTACTTTTTAAAGTTATTATTTTACCATATCATTGTACTTGCAGACTGTTGTATGCATTTCCAATACTCATCAGAAAATATAAGTAGGTACCTGAGACTTCTAAAAATGGGAAGAAGGCCAGAGAATCTGGGATTACTGGCCATTCTGTTAATTGAGAAAAATATTTTGGTACCAGTTTTGGGATCCATAAAGAAAATGAGGTGTTAAATATATAACAGAGTTGAATTATCTTTTATGGTTGAAATAACAGATGAGCTGGTTGTAAAAACTAGCAAAAGCTTCTGGATAGAAGTTTCTGCCTAGAACATTCAATCCTAAATGGCCCGTGGATCAGACATTGCTATTGTGACATCGTTACACTCTAAGTTTGTAAAGATTTAAAAGACATTCCTTTTTGATGACTCCTAGGTATTGAGAGTTACCCTTTTTTATTCTGAGTCCCAATCACATTGAGACTTACTCCTCAGATGGGAACCTCTGTAAACAGACCCTCTTGTTCCATCTTTATCCCTTGACCAAACTTCTCCACCGGCAATTATGTCTCCAAAAATAAACCCAGAGTAATCCTTCCAATCATCTTCCTCTCTTCCAAAGGCTATTTGTTGGTTGATGATACTACATAATCTGCAGTGCCCTTAAACACTTGGTGGAGCAAACATCTCTCCATTGACTCCAATTTAGCTGAAGCACCTGATAAGGGGGTCTTTATTTATTCTTTTTAGTCAGTCATTTGTCAGAAAGCCAGGACTGAGGAATTTCAGAAAGAATAATTCAGTGACTTTGCAAAATGCCTATGTAAAAATTGAAAGAAAAAACATGCCTGGAGAAAATTAAAGATAATTACCACACAAATCTTGGAAAATTCTGAAAATAAATATACTACAGGTGTCATCTTTCCAATGGCAACCAGAAGTAAAAGTGAAATGGCCCCTTTTTTAAGATCTAGTTAAAATGGGACACAAATGTTTGGGGCAATCATTAAACCTACTCCACCAATATTCATGAAAACAAGTGAAAGTTGTCAATTTGCAGCACTGTTACAGTCATGTCAGTTCTGCTCAGTGGAGGGATATGTAAATCAGGTTTGCTTAATCAGTGCACTCAGTTCCAAAAGATGGCTTTATCTTTCCTCTTTTGGGGGTGGAGGGTTTGTACAATCTCTTTACTGAGTTTTTAATCGAGTTGCTATTCTACTCTTCCTTTTATGAAGCCATAGAAGTGTCTGTAATGAAAGATTAAAATGGTCCTATGCAGTGGTTTGCAGTGGCCTGCCCAAATAAAATATGACAGCTCTCGCATAGAGCCTATATGTAAGCAGAGGGGCTTGGGAACAAGCTGTATCACACTCTGCTGTGCATACTGATTGCAAATTGTGTGGGTTATTCTGGATGCAATAAAAGATGCAGGTGGTTGTGTGTGTGTGTGTGTGTGTGTGTGTGTGTGTGTGTGTGTGTGAGAGAGAGAGAGAGAGAGAGAGAGAGAGAGAGAGAGAAAGATAAAGGATTTCTTTCCCCCAAATGATTATGAACCTCATGCATAGTAAGTAATGGAGCAATGATGCTCAGATTTCCTGTAACAGAGGTAACTAATACACACACACACACACATTTACACACACTGACAGGCTAATGGCTACTTTCCCAAAGAGTGGTTAGAAAGAAGTAGTAAATGGGACTGTGTTGATGCCAGGAGAAGACCTGGGCAAAGATCAAGATACCCAGCAACATATCGGATAACACATAATTGGCGGGTCACAGCCAAATGAGTGTAGTCACGCATCTCCGGGCAGGCCTTTGCCGGCGATAAAGACACTTGTAAACAATTCAGTCCCAGAACATGGCAATAATATGTTGATCCGGCGTGTAATGAGGTGTTCCTGGAATCAATAAGCAGTCATGGAGAGCAGGGAGCAAGGGCAGCGGCTGTCTTTTTGATGACCTTTCCTCACCACTGAGGACCTCATCTCCCCTGAAGAGGACTTTTCTCATTTTGCAGCAAGCTCGGAGCGTCAGAACTTCCATTCGCAGCCAGCAAATGAACAGCCAGGCCCTGCATGCTAATGAAGTCCAGGCTATTTTGCACCTTTTCATCCGCACATTATGCTCTTGACTCTGGAGAAGGTGGGAATTAGGCCGGACCCCGGTGTCAGACTGCCTGATGGCTCGGCTCCGGAAAACTGGTAATTGAAGCTGATGACTGATGCGAGGGAGGCCTGAATTTGGAAATAAACAGTTTCAAGCACTGCATGTCATTTCTAGAGAGACTGCTGAGAGAATGGAAATGAGCTCCGTTTCTTGAATCTAATGCAGTTTCTCAGCAGGAAAAACACCGTCTTTTAGACAACAATGCCAGTCATTAAGATTTAAATGTTCTGGCGATAATAGACGAACTGGCCTTCATGTTCACAAACAGCACTTATGTAAATGTCTTTCAACACCCAGATCTACACTTAATCCACGCCCAAGAAGAGAACTGTGTGGGAAAGCAGAACGGAATGCAATTCAGAGTCTATAAATATCGTTCATAAGGAGAGAGAGGAAAACAGTAAAATTGTTTGCTAACGTGTCATATTGCATTGCCTGTCAGTGCCCATGAAAGCAGCAACTCTCTGTTGAAACAATGGAAGGACATTCAGAAATCTGCAGAGAAGCATCCAGAAGCCCCACTTTTGCAGGTCATTTTTGCATTGCTCTATTTCATTCCAAATAACTAACATACCATCCTTCTTACATGGAAATGACAAGAATACTCTGCACCCGTATGCAGAATCTATATCTGGACAGCAAATCTCCATGTTTAATGTAGCAGAAGCTCAAATCTGGACTTCCTATAATCAATTATTTAGTTTTCTCTTAATAACATTCCTAGATTGTCATAAGACCCCAGACCAAACCCAGCAAGCTGTTTTAGTCCAGTCTCCCCTGTTAGCTGAGATGAGTTGGACATTGCTATATGCAAAAAGAAGGGCTCACAACCGAAACACTGGCTTTTGTGCTTTAAGAGGCCTTAAAAATCATTTTTTACTATACATCCCTACAGCCCAGTTCTTTCCATGCAGGTGAAACACCTTCAGGGAGAAAATTACGAGCCTGATGAAGAGAGAGTGAGACCACTGTTATTTATCATGGCAGGCTGGGAGTGATTCATGAATAACCATCCGTTTGCTCTTTCCTCGCTTCCCTTCCCTACCAGAAGTGAGGTTTTGATATTTCAGGCCTTTTTCAATTTAATGGTGACATCCAGGATTCTCACAGGCAGTGTCTGGTTTGTTAGAAGCATCAAGGATATGAGCACAACTTGAGAGACACCGAAGGAGGCTTGGGTGTTATTGTCACTTTGGTTTAAAGGTAGCAAACCTATCTTGCAAAGGATCAACACTGAATTATTTCAACATTTCAAAACTATAGATAAGTAATGCATTTCTAATAGCATACTTGTGGATACTAGATAGATCAATGAATATTCAGCAATTCTTTGCATGAAATATATGAAACTCAATGAGAAATAGGTTAAATCTCAAGTGCATACAGGCATGCATACACACACACACACACACACACACACACAAACACACACACAGTAGAGAAGCACACCTGCCCTTCACTGTGACAATGTTGCTCCATTCTGACTTTATTCTTGTGTCTCATGGGATCTCCCATGACATAATGGCTAAAAAAGAGGGAGAAAATTGGGGTCACTAAAATCTGATAATGATAACTACAGGCTCTCTCTGTGCATGGGGACACATACACTAGGAATTCAATATTCATATAATGATTCCTTCCATGTTCACAGCAGCATTAATTTTTCTCAAAAAAAGCTTTTATTTGTATTTTGTCACTGCACTTCTATTGTAAGCCTATGGCACAAGGATCAATTTTATTAACATGTAAGAAAAGGGAGACAGAGAGGAATGATATGATTTAAAAAAAATAAGATCCACAGAAAACACAATGGTGAAGCCAGTGGTGATCCTGGTGAAGCTAGGATCAGAACTTTTTGTTTTAAACATTTGTCATATTTTTTTTCTGTAAGTCCACACTCATTGGTGCAGATACTATCAGTAAAGACAGTTATGCAGTGTTAGCTACTTCTCCTTTCATCTTTCACAAGCACTACCTCTTGAATTGCTGTTGGGAAATTGAAATTATTCTTACTTGGAGTTAAGACTTGCAACTCCAATTGTCTTGAAAAAGAATAGTCAGAGCAAGAATTTTCCAGTTTTTATTGGCCACTGATAGAGACTTGAATTAGTAATATCATCCCTTTTGAATGGTAACTATTGCTTGGGTAAGATAAAGTAACTCAATATTGTTTAAGGGCCAAGAACATGGGCTTAGCTTTGGTTCAAATCCTGGCTCTAACACTGCATCAGTTGTAAAAGAAAAGCAGAGTAGGTTTGCTCATATAACCAGAATTCCAGAAGTGGGTACTCTAGGATGGAAGAGAATAGGCTCTATGATGCTGTCAATGTCCCTGGTTTCTTTGGATTCTCTACTTCACCTCTTTTATAATCTCAGTTCCATTTCAAGATTGCCTCATGGTCCTACCATGGCTGCTGCAGCTTTAGTCATTTCATTTAAAGGAAGAAGACAGAAGGATAGAAAGGTGAAAGAGCCAGACCAGTCATCATTCCCTTGAAGAAACTTCATGGGAACAGCTCCACCTTTCCCCTTGTTAAGAACTTAGTCCTAGTTAAGAACTTAGTCATAGAGCTATTTCTACCTAGAAGGAAGCTGAGAACTGTGAATTTGAGGGTGGACGTGTTATTTGCTCCTACCACAATTGAGTTTTTTTTTTTTCTTAACTAAACAAGAAGAGAACAGATATTGTGGAATTTGCAGGAAGAATTTGCTGCCACAAACAGTAAATGTGTGAATTTAAGTTCATCATTTAACTTTCAAGTCTCAATTTATTCATTTGTCACATGGGAAAAATAATGGCTCTTTCTCCACTACTATACCAGGGATGAATTGTGCTATAGTTTGGATCAGAAAT